AATTTATCTAAAATAATTTCTTTAAACATTTCATTTATCTCTCCATTGCAATCATAAAGTATCCCAAAATTTTATTAGACTGATATATTTTTTTGTATCTTCAGCAAATTAAGTGAATTTTGAATTTACAAATCATATACCATGTATGTATTGCAAAAAAAAAAAAAATGTTTTAGAACCTATTTGGAAGTTGGGGTAAACCACAGGTTACATTCTTTCTCTGAACATATTGATGTTTGTTATTAAGATAGCAAACATCAATATGAATGTGGTTTTGCTGTAATATCTGAGCAGTGAGTTTAACATTGTTTATAGCTACATTACTCCCAGAGCTGCGATGTTCTTTATTACAAGTGTTGTTGGTAATGGCTACACCTTTAAATTTAAAATATCATTGTCATATCCATATTTTGCATTATTAATGACTTGAAGAGGAAAGGTCAAGCTTTGATAAATTGTAGGTTTTTTCATATTTTGATGATAATTTTAGTACTTAAAAACATAACATTGCAGATTGAAAACAATTCAAAGAAGATTGTGGAAATTTCCATTTCCACTTCAGCAACTAAATCAGATTAAACAGCAAAAGTAGGGCCCCCATTACATTCTTGTTCAGGCCCCATCAAAGCTTGGACAGGCTCTGTTGATAAGCCCATGTTTATGGAAAAATATACTGTTGAAGAATAAAAAAAGTTCTTATATAAGCAATTTTATGAGTCAGTTCTTCATTTGGTGTTTGCCTATTTGCATGCTGAGCGCAGCTGTAAAACCTGTAACCATCAGGAGCAATATCACAGATCTCTTTATTGAGACTGACAAGCTGATCCGTCCTCATCAGGACACCAAGTGTCTCTTTTCATTATTCTCACCAGTTCAGGCTGTTGGCCGTGATTAGCTCCCGCGTCTGCTGTTGGAGGGAAGCACCAGGGGATGACAGAGATTTGTTTTAAAGTTATCTCATTTCTAATGTGCAGTCTGGGACTCTTTCTGGATGTGTGTGAATGTGTTTGTATTGATTGGGGTATTTTGGGATTGTGATGAAAGGATTTTATTCAATCATTTTAAAAGCACCAGAACACACATATTTTTAAGGACACATCTTAGAAAATAATTCATATTATGGTCTGTTTATAGCTGTTTCCACATGCACCGATGACCAGGGCTGGCCTGAGGTATAAGTGAAGTTTGCGGTGGCTTAGGGCTCTTGAATTCTCACATGAAATATTTACCAGTTGCAGAAAAACATTCATATGTTATCAGGGTCATAATTTATAGCTGATTTGATCAAATATTCCATGCACTCTGTCAGAGCCTGTAAACAGATCAAGTTTTTTTTTCTGAGAATTCAACAACATCTTGACCTTTTGTTCCAGATACAGGTTGTCTATTAGCAAATCATGATGTAACATACTCTATTTTTCCTCATCATTTTTTTCCTTTACAAATTAGGCTTCAGATTCTGGAAATGGTTTAAGTGATATTAAACTATGTTAATTTCATTTCACTTTGACGTTAACGTAGTCGTTGAGCCAAACAACCGCCACACTGTGTCAATGTCTGAAAATAAAATCCAATAAAATAAAATTTAATAGAATTCATTTCTTTTCAGTGCATGGCTGAAATGAATGGTTACTTTTTAAGATATTTTTAAACAAATAACCTGCATGAAACTTTAAGTTACAGCTTTAAACATTAAATAATAACTAAAAAAATATAAAGCAACACAGCCTTTTTTTTTTCATTAGCATTTTATCCCACAGGGAAACGTGACTGATGAGTCAGGAAATGCATTCTGTTAATCGTAATTTTTTAGTGACTTAATATAATAGCAGCAAAACAAGTTATTTTCAATACAGAATTCAAAGAATATCAACAAAAAAAATAGGATGACGTTGGATCTTTACTTCCATCCTGGTCATCTTTGGCCTGTGACCTACATCTCACTGCTAAGGAACCACTGGACCTCAACAACATCACACTGATTAGGGAGAACTCTCCAAATCTAACGTCCAAACTCAACCCACAGATTGTTTAGTGGAGTTTTAACATCATGATTAAAACCGCACTAAATAATCCATAACCATGAAGGGGCTTTGCGTCACTTTGTTTAAAAAAAAAAAAAAAAAAAAAAAACTTCTTACGTTTTAAGGGTTTTGTATTACTTTTGAGCATTCAGTGGCTGATATTTGAAATGCAAATATGATTTCAAACATGCAGGACTGTTGCTGCGATTTTACTAATGCAATAAAACCTAGTAGCCAATTAAGATATCCCTCCCCACCACATTTAGTTCAGGCTCGTGCACTAACGGCCGCGCGTGCGCTCCCGATCTCTCTTAAAATGAAAGCCCTTTGCTGACTTTGCCCAAAGGCGTTGTCTATGGTTGCCGGCTGTGCGTGATGAATCGTTATCTCCAGGCGATGCTGCTCGCCTGGGTAATAAAGTACCAGCAAAGCGGAGACAAAAGGAATTTGTCACAGTTGCGCCCCCTCTTTTTCACCCCCGATATATTAGTGACCTACCGGCAGATTTAGCTTTCATTTGGTTTATTTTGGAGGGCTGGGGGGGAAGGGAGGTGCGCACACCAAATTAAAATGAACGAAGCAAAAGGATAAAGTTATGCAAACCTGGATACGCCGGGCTGAGGCTTTTGGAGGAGGTTCATTTATTTTTATCTTAAAATAACGCCGCCTGCCGGGCCTAAACAAATATATGTGTCTGAAAATAACCACATTATTCATTTCCAGGTGACCTTTTGCTGGGGTATTTTTCTGCATTATGCAAAACTTTGCGCGTGGGTCGCAAAGAAAGCAGCTTTTGGACTGAGTGGATCACCGGAAAGCAACTGGTCAACAGGCTTTTGAGTCATGCGAATGAGTCAAATTAAAGGCAGCATCAAATTAGGACAATAATTTATAGTTTGCATTCAGTATATAGTCAAGTCAATTTGTGCAGCACTATTGAGGGACAAAAACTATTTTACTTGATACATATCCAAATAAACTCTTCTTTAAATACATATACACGTTGTGTTTATGATAATATAAGTCATAATATAAATTAGAAAAATGCATTTGTGAAATCTATTTATTTAAATCTTATTTTAGAAAACATTTTTAATTAAATAAAAAAGTATGTCTGCTTCATGACGCATTAAAATTGTAATAATGTATATATTTTTGAAATAACTTGTTTAATACGATAATGAATACTGTTCTAGTAATTGTTTAATTCGGCAGCAACTATGAAAACAGTTGTTTTGTTTTGTGTTACATTTGCTTTTAAACATTTTTGGTCCCAAAAGACCAAAAATGTGAAGAAAAGATGCTTAGAAAATCTGTTTTTCTAAGATCTTTCTCTCGCTAAGGTTACATCATCAAACTGGAAAACTTGACTTAAAATTGTACAAATTTGAGTTGTTTACAGATAATTTATTCAACAGAAAAATTAAAGCAGGCCTGTAGATAAGAATCTGGGAATTTAAGAAGAGAAAGATTTGAAGATAGCTGCAGGAAAACTGCAGCTATCTTCAGTTTTCTGGAGTAGGGACGTCCTGATAATGGATGTCCACTTGCTAAGTTGTCTGATAACACACTCATTTAAATTGACAGCTGAAATGATCCCAGACTTGGAAGGGAGGGGAGTGGAGTGGTTGCCTCTGCAGTCCAGGATGTCAGAGATTACTGTGATGGGGGCTGTCATCTTCCCCTCTCCCCAGTGCTGTTGGACTCTGCTGCTGAACTTCAGGGCTGACACAACCTGAAAAAAGCAGAGTCTGTAAAGCCCAAGAGCCTGCTTTGTGACAAAAAATATTCTGATTAAAATCAGGACTTCTTTGTTAGCTAACATCCTTTCTGGATGAGTCACACGGTTCTTAATCTTCTCCTCCTTCGAGACATTTTTTCTAAAAGTTGGATTTCTGCTTTGTAACTGTTTTTTCTTGTGTTTTTTCTTGTAGTAAAGAGTACAAATAAATATTGTTGTTTGTGGACCTTCAATTTTGATGTGATTTCAAATAACCTTTTTAGACAAGTAAAATATTTTTTTTCTGTAACATTTCACATTTAAATTTATATTTGCAAAGATGTATTTGGATTGAAAAGTAAACTTTTTGAGGTAAAATAAAATTTTCCTTGCATCAGTTTCAAGATGCTTTATAATCTCACTTTCTTGGTTCAGGATTGTGGAGGAAAAAAGTGAAATAGTCACGAAAAACAGAATGATCTGGCAGCCTGGAATGATTAATTTCTGATAATTTCATTGAAATTCTGAAGCAAAACCAGCTCCTGATCAGAAGCTTGGGGGGAGCTGTGCTCTCAGATAGCAACGCTTTGACTTACATAAAGACATTCAATCACAGTGGAAAAAAGAAAACAAAATGTATGCTCATTTCCAAATACTTATAAACACAGAATCTTGTCTTGCATGTGGAATGGGAGGACGACAGTTTAATTTCTAAAGAGAGCAAGCTAAAACAAATATTATTCTGTTCTAAGATTGGACAATTAGATTGTTGCTCCTCAGCCTAACATGCTCCAATGCCAAAAACATGAATTAAATACAAACATTTAAGGAAATAAAGAGTGTGTTAGGGTTTGGAGGGTTTATGCATGGGACAAAAACCTTAAAACTAATTTGATAGAACAAAAATACTTTTGTGAGTTCCAAACACAAATGTGTTACAGTGAAACTATCCAAATGGTTTGTCTCTGAGTTTACATTAACCTGGGGAAATATCATAAAATAACAGAGATGCATTTTCTTGTAATTTTTTTTTATGTACTACTTATTAGATATCTCAGTTTTCTACAAAGTTAAAGTGGGATTTATATTCATTGTGTCTCACCTGAAAAACCAAAAACACAAGAAAAGCAAATTATTTAATGCGGGCAATGAGCCATTTCTGTCATAATAACAAAACAAAACCATTTGAAGCTAAACTGTGACCAGGTTGTTCATGTTGCTGCAAGTGGAGCCTCACAGCATTCAGAGCACTCAGGAAGAAGCACCAATTTGAGCCTGCAGAGCCGCCAGTGTCCTGCAACAAATTATGAAAGCCATCAAGAAGCGCCGTGCGCCGCGGAACCCTTTTTATTGTGAGTGTAGAATTACATTATTCTGCTTTCGGAGGGTTCAGTCCTTGACTCTTCGCCTCCCTCAGGGGAAAACCTGGCGCCTCCTGCCCGTATCAGACGACTCGAAACGGGAGAGAGGAGTGGAGGAGGTGGGGGAAGCAAAATCTGTGAAAACAGGAGCAGGACGTGCTGAAATGCAGCTTTGGTACAGAGGATGGATGGAGGATTTTCTAAACGTCACAGAAAGGTAAAAATATCACATTATTATTATTATTATTATTATTATTATTATTATTATTATTATTATTACAATCAGCAGAGACAGTATCAAAGCCATCATTTCATTAGCAGACATCTGATTTCTCCACTTTTTCCTCGTTTCCTTTAAATGCAAACCGTTTCATTTCGCTCTTCTCGCCTGTTTGCCTCGGATAAACCTATCGATTAGACATCAGTTAGATTCCAAGCCGGGGCTTTATTGAGTAAGTTGGTGAGCCTTAAAGTGAATTACAGGAACTGCTCTGCCCCTCCGGTGAACTATTTAGGTGAATCTAATTTACTTTGATAAAGACCATCTATTTTATTTACTCTGATAACCATTTTCATCGCAGGTTTGTTCTGGGTGTGAGGAAAGAGCTGGGGTGAGACATGGCATTTTGAGTTGTCTTTATCATAAATTATTATTATTATTATTATTATTATTATTATTATTATTATTATTATTATTATTATTATTATTATTATTATTATTATTATTTATTATTATTATTATTATTATTATTATTATTTCTAATATTCCTGTTGCATCTTTTTTGCTTTTTTGCAGGTGATCTTCAACAGCATACAGCAGAGCTGAGCATGCAGAGTCCTGCTGGTTATTTCATACTAGCAACTTCCTTTTTCTGATGAGAAAAAAAAACAGTGGGTTTTAATCTCTAATACCTCCAACAAGTAATTAATGGGACGTTTTCAATTATTAAGGAAAGTAGTGTTTGATTTTATGTACAGCTGTAGGCTACATGAGGAGAAAACTTCCAAATTTAAAACAAATATTTCAAAACTACATGCATGTCTTTATCAGAACTAAATGAGCTAAAAAAATCTTTGAATCAGTACTTCATTCAAATTTTTCATTCCAAGATTATATATATATATCTATATATATATATATATATATATATATATAGATATCATAGATATATATTATATATATATATATATATATATATATATATATATATATCTATATATAGATAGATAGATAGATAGATAGTATCATGGAGTACATCACATGTACATTTCCTCCTTTCAAATATGCATGTCTTTTCAGCATGAGGACTTCTAATTTTCAGTCATTCTTTTTTGTTTAATAACATACTCTTGAAAAATAGTTACAAATTTTCCTCCTCAGGTTTAGTTCATCAATTGCTGCGTCTCTGATCCGTGATTTGAAGCCCCTCTATGTACACATGTGCCGTATTTAAGTGTAATTGGCCGTATCATTGGCTTTTGTCTTGTTTACAAAGCGGACAACAGGAGCTGTAATTTAATTTCCTCCACCGCTCTGAAGCGCCACCAGCCGCCTGTCAGGCCGAGCAAAGTCTCTCTTTCCCCGAGCAGAGGGCAGGAGAGGCCCCAGGGCCATTCTGAAGAGGGAGGAGGACAGGGGAGGAGAGGTGGAGGGCGGAGGGCGACATCTGCCTCCAAATAAAAGTCAATATGAATGATATGTTGAGAAAGAATGGAGTACAGCTTCAGAGAAATGGGCTTTTATGATGCACGGAAAATTAGCAACTTCACTCAATATGCTTTTAAATTATGTCAGTTCTCTTCTGCATGCAATTCATTAAGCCAACAAATTTTCAAATAGCATATTACATTTTATTTATTTCCTTGTAAACTTGAACTATTTTTTTGCATCGTTAGATTTCACTCAAAATGGAAAAATTGTCTACAAAAGAGGTACTTTGATTATCAGGTGTTTTAGTGCGACTTTCACTAAGCTATGTGTGAGGAATCATCAATTTTACAACCAGCATGTGAGAAATAAAGCAGAAAATCTTTTATTCTTTAAAGAATAATGTGTTTCTGATAATTGCTTTATGTTCCTAATGATGATACTCTACAGATTTATTAATGCCACAGATTTTTGTTACAACAAAAAGAAAAGTGTGGTAGCCACTGAGCATGATGATTTTTATTACATCCATGTAAGTAACTGTGGTATTTTTGCTCCCCAAAAGTATATATTGCCCCAGAAAGAATAATATTTTCTTAGTTAGAATTACAGCTTTGGAAACTGAACAAAAGAAAAATCTCTCTACGAAAATAAAGAAAACCAAAAGTCCATCTTAACATTCACCAATCAAATTCTTTGATTGGTGTTTTAAATTTCATGACTATTTTTTATTCAATGTTTGTTTATGTAAGAAGAAAATCAAATGAGTTTAAAAGGCTAAATCAGTTTGCATCACACACATATAAATTAACTCTTTACAGGGATTAATGAATGAATGAGGTACAGAGTTGTGTGTGTGCATGTTTGTTTATCAGCACAGAGGGAAAGATGGCACATTAGGCCTGAGGGCACATCATTATTAGAGAGCCTGTTTCCCCTCCCTTTTTCTCCATTTCTACCTTCCCATGCTCCCCCTACCTCTAACCTCCCTCCACCAGACGCTCTTCATCCAGCTTTCAGAGGCGGTCAAAGGCCAAACCGAGTCGGCCAACGTGCGGAGGCCTTCGTGCAGAGCAGCGCTCCTCCTGCTCTCTAATTACGCCGTGATACAATGCAATATTCCTCTGCAACGATTCCCACATAAATTCATTCCACAAGCCCATTATAATACAGCGGGTGATCACAGCGCCCCAGCACAATACAGCATGATGCTGGCTTTTACATCGCCGCCAAGTGTGCCAAGTCCCCCTGGTTGAACGGCAACCTGGTAGGCATTAACTCAACATAATGTCTCACAAATTAAAGTATTGCTGGGGCTACCACCACGGCGTCAGATAAATGTGCTCTATTAGGAGGCCCCAAGCTGTGAGCAAAACAATTGATTGCTTGTTTGTGTTTTCATATGGCAATTGTGCGCATGCAGAGTGATGGATGAGATCCCATCATCTCAGGTTGCCTTTAGTCGATTGCTGCTTGTGTTTTTCTTTTCCTCATCTAATTGGAGTGCTGGCCTGTCCTCTGACGTGCACCTTATATTTTCTTTATTGAGTCTATAGGAGGGAGGTGGTTGCAACAAAGAGGGCAGGAGGAAAACTGAACCTTAGCCAGTAATGATGCAAGAGCCTTCCTGGCGCTAACTGCAGCAATGTTCACACCATAAAACTACTTTAGCTTCTGCTACTGAGTCACACTGGATTTATATTTCCTTGTTTGTTGACACTACACATTTATTTTTGGATGCAACTTCAGCCTGTTTCAAGTATCACTTGACAGGAGATCAAATAAGGTCAGCACGTCATATTTACTTTTGCATCAAAAGCATTTTTATTTTAACTTTCTGGTATGTCTGTTATGGCAAGTGGAATGTTTAACACAAGACAGCAATCAAGTCTATTATTGAACATGTTAGCACTAACACTCCACAACACCTGAATGCATACATTATGAAGAGTTATTATTAAAAAATAACTCAACATATCTGCAGAGTAATCAGGCTATGCTGACACTGAAGATCAGGTTTTCTTTTATGACAGTTTGCAAAGTACAAATTTCATAAATTTAAATCACACCCAGGTCATTTCCATATGTGGTCATTAATCTGAAATGGGTTGACCTCAATCTGAATGGGCATGTCACATTTCATCCAGCCTTTGCATTATTTACAACAAATGTACTAGACTGCATTTGGAACCAAGAAGTACAGAGATTGAATGTAAATAATGGCAAAACAAACAAGGGAGATGTTGTGATTGTTGTTCTACGTAATATTTGCACGTTCCTACTATTATTTAAAGTTGCAGGCTTCAGCTCTGTCTGAATAAGAAAACTGCAAGTTACAATTAGTTATTGGTTCTGTTGCTAAATCCAGCACCCTTCAAAATAAAAGTCTTGCCAAAACACTATTTACAAGCAGAGAATCAGAACTGATATGGATAGCATCTATGTTTCTGCAATTGCAGCATGAGGTATTAATATTTTTGCAAGGCCCTGTAGATTTTGACATTCGATGCATCAGTGACGTCTGGTTTAGTGAATAAAATATCTTTAACCTGATGCAACAGATGTTTCTTTATAAGGAATGATCTCACATGCTCTCTATAGAAAATTGTTTGGAAAGGTTCTGTCTTGTGGTATCAGAATTTACCTATTTTTCTATTAAAAATGTTCCATATTCAATATTTTGCAAAGTCAAACGTACCTTTTTGCAAGTTTGGCATTAAATATATGAAATACTTTCTGAAAGATATAACTCAAAGTATTTTTACACCCTTGCACAGTTTTTTTTATCCCTATTGATGTTCCCTAGTGTAAATCACAAAATGACAAAATTCAATGTCTTTGCTTTTCTTGCACATTGAATGTAAAAAAAAATGCAAAAAGGGTCAGACTCAATGTCATCTTAAATCTGTCCTTCCTGGTTGCATTCATTCTCACCAAAGTGAAGCTCAATATTTACGAGGGGCTGTGCTTCATTAATTGCTGTTTAGTCAAAACTAGTGATGACAGGAGGTGCAGTGAAATAATGAGTCAGCCCCACAAACTTCAACTTTGTCTTACTATGAAGAGAAATTAATTATGGAGAAGACTCACGTTGGACTGTTTCCATTTTAAATGACATGTGACTTGATATAATGCATATTGACATTGCCTAAACGTTTAATGGATCAAACCTTTATAATATAAGATAACCTTGGGAAAAGAAGTGATATTTACCTAAAGAAGATCCATGATGCATCAGTAGTTGCAGAGTTTCATGCATCAGATGGTGATTCTCTCGTTGTAAACGGGGCTTTTTATCTTGGAAATGCAAGCAGGCTGCAGCAGCAGCCAAGACAGCTAATTGCATTTTCCATCTCGGCAAGAATGGAGGATACCTTTCTATGTTATTAATCATAATGAGTGGGATATAATAAGCTCCCATACATCATGTGTCGACAGTCATAGTTTCCCGTTTGCAAGCCCAACCACAGTTTTTTTTTTTTTTTTTTTTTTAATGGCTCCAAACTGAATTAATGTATGCTGGATCTGACGCTATTATCAGTTGTGAATAATATTTAAGGCCTTTTGGGTTCAGTCACTGAGACTCTAGATAAATATATGTTTTGGTTGAAGAGTAGTGTTTTCTTTCTTTTGATCCAATATTGCTGTTGTCAAAACGAACAATGTAAACATCCATCCACCTTAATTCTGTAAGAAATGTCATTGACAATTTTACTGGAAATCAAAAATAATGCTGCCTTTAACCTGGAAGTTGGAAGATGAAGCTGCAACATTCCAGTTTTCAGTTGGAGAAGTATTGACGGTTTGTTTGCACCAGCGCAGTCGCTGAAGAAACAGCTGAAACAGAAAAAAAAAGCTTTCAATGTGCTGGTCTGTTTATATTCCGACCCTCACCTATGGTCATATGGATTATGATGAAGAGAACGAGATTATGGATACAAGTGGCCAAATGAGCTTTCTTCATAGGGAGGCTAAACTCAGCCTTAGAGTCCAGGGTGGAGTGTCACCATTCGGAGGGGAACTCGAAGTAGAGCTGCTGCTTCTCCACATCGAAAAATGTTTGTTGAGGTCTTTCTGATCAGGATGCCCACCGAATGCCTCGCTTTGGAGGTTTTCTAAAGAGAACAGTCGGAGAAGTTCTCCGTCTGTTCTGCTTCCCAAGCAGGTGTTGGGAAGCAGGAGCCATTCAAAATGTTCTGAAAATGACCACTTGCTGCTTCATAAATGTGCAGTTACTGGTGGGTGAAATGTGATACAAGCAGCAGAAACATTTCATATGAGAACTTGAAACTTTGACATTCAACTTAACCATTAAACTATTATTAATTGAAAAAGTTGTAGTTCATTATTTTAAAATTTTAACTAAAATAATTAAATATTTGTACTCATAAATTTAATACAAATAAAAA